ATGATAGGTCTCCAAAATGTTAAATGTTATAAAAGGGTCAGGCGTGGTGAGTAAGAGACAGTAAAAACGCAGTAGTGCAATACAAAATATGACTTTCTAGCAATGGCAGCCAACAGCTGCCAGTCAACCATGCACTGCCATTGGAAAATACCTTCCCAGAGGACTAAATGCTGTTTCCAAATATATGTCCAAAAGCCTTTTTCTACTCTTGAAAAATGAAGAAAATAAGCACAAGAGCTAAATTACCATAACTGCGTTTCATTGTAAATGTATGAAAGTAAAACAAATGTTTAGAAGGTGTTAACTTCCTTTAATCCCTGATTCCCTTAAACTTCTCCTTCGACTATACTGACTTTCCCACCATGTCTAGCCCTTTTCACCCCAGTCCTACCCGCTGTTACCATAGCAGCATATTGTCCCAGACTTTACTAGGAATCCTATCGCCCTCCATCCCTAAAGTACACCCCAGAGCCACCCATTGCTTTATTGCCCAGTGTTGTTCTCTGAAAGACTGGAATTCGCTGAGGTAAAATCGAACCAGATATTTAGACTGAAAGGGGGTGAAAAGGAGGGGAAAAGATTTATAAAACCAGTCCTTTGGTTTTGGAACTGTTTCACATTATTATTGATATTTATGGTGATGGTTAGGATTATACATGTTTCCAAACGATGGCAATTATCATCCTGTGATCGTTTGAATGCATACAAGGTTGTTTGTTAGTGATTATGCACATTCCTGATAAATAGCCTTAAAGTTATTACCAAGAAAATGAAAGAGGTAAGAAAGGGATAAAGCAAGGAAGCAAGGGAGGGTGTGTGAGGCTGTGTGCTTGAAGGGAGGGGAGGGTTTAGGAGAGCGAGCCTGCCGGGCTCCCTGCTGGGCCTCCATTCATTGAAGCTCTTTTACAAGGGACCCTGCCTGGCAAAAAGGGGCAAACTTGCCAGGGTAAAAGGAAAGGGGTGGGCAAGTCCATTCGAGGATGCAACTGTTGCTATGTGGTGGGAAATACAGTAGTGTGCTTTGGTCTCCCTCGGTTAAATAAGTGCTGAGAACTGCCAAAGCATCTAAATATAACTGAATTCAAATCATTAAATAAACAGTGTATAACAATAACCACATGTTCCTGATGATACCGTATCTTCTGGCTGTTTGCTTGTGGGGGGCTCTAATTGTGACAGTACGATCCGTGTGGGAAGTAAGGGTGGTGTTAGTGGAGGTGGTGGTGGTGAAAGGGGGAACTCTTATTGTGAAATCCCGGTGGAGGGTAATTGGAATTCAATAGGAGTTAGATCATGGCTGCTGCCTTAGTTCCTTTGAGGGAAAAGCTATGGGGGATTAGCAGTCGTTAGCCCATAGTGATGTGAAGTGGAAAGGAACAGCTGGCTCTCAGCTAGCCACATGGGGTGTGTGTGTGTGTGTGTGTGTGTGTGTGTGTGTGTGTGTGTGTCTGTTTGTGTGTGTCATTTTTGTGTGTAAGAAAAGAGATAGTAAGCGGTAGAGGGTGTTTTTCAGTATGTCGCCTTCTCTCCATCTGGGTGTTAGCGAGTGGGGGGGATTGCCTCAGAAATTCCCTGTAAAAGTTGCCTCACCACAATGGCTTTGGGATACATTTACTAGTTGTACCCTAATGGCTTGTGACTGTACTTGGGATAGCTTAACACCCTTTTGAAATACATTCTATTCCATGCTATTCTATGTCCTTTTTCGATCCTTTTTGCCGCCTCCTCAATGGAAGTTTCTAGATCATGGGTCTGAGTCTGCTAAACTGTCATTCCTGCTGTGTTTTACAAGCCCAGAAACACTTTGTTATTTTATATAAAAGCAGCCAGGCAGGTTTGCTGAATACTTTTGGCATTATATGTGGGAGGATGAAGGAGGGATGGAGGGAGGCAGAGAGAGGGCAGGAGAGGAAAGGTGGAATAAACAGCCCTATTAGTGGAGCGGTCTGAGGATCGGCACGTGGCCCCACGCTGCAGCGAGCAGCAACTACCGGCATGATAATGCAACACAATGCTGGAGCATGGCCCTGGACCTTTGATTTGTTTCATGTGTCTCTGGGTTAGATTACACTGAAAGCTCCTTTTGAGTTTGCTAACACTTCTAGTTACGGAGTTACTAAGACCTGTGTCCTGTCTAAATATGGTATTATCTATGGTCACGACATTTGGGTATACGATGACCCTGGATGCTCATTTCTAACATTTACAAAACCATTTAACAGTTATGTCTTATACCTCATTCACACCAACGGTGTTTTAGGGCCGGTTCGGAGCTGGAGCTTGAAAAGCACCGGGTTTTCCTCTTCACACCGCAGCGGAGCAGCCTCTTAGCTCCGGAATCACGGCAAAAAAAATTCCGGCTAGAGCAAAAGCACCACATACGTCACGCTTACGTCGTGGCAGGGGCAGGGGTGGGGGCGGGATCAACTCCTGAACAACAACAAAAAGCCCGCGTTTTATCCAGTTTGTACACAACGATGTAGAAACTTAACAAGCAGCAGTGGGCCACTGAAGAGACCAGCTACCTACTGGGAATCTGGTCTTCCGAAGAGGTACAGAGGAAGCTGGAGCACAATCGGCCATTGTTGTTGTTGTCGGTGTGAGCTGTGAGGGGTTTCCGCGGGCTTTGGCTTTATAAAGCAGGCACGCAAACGGTGACGTCATGACGCAAACGATGACGCAATGAGTCGGACTCTGGGCAGTGTGAAAAGATTCGGAGCTAAACCGAAGAACCGGTTCTGAACCTGAAAAGCTCTAGCACGGAGCTTGAACCGGAGTTGCGTTGGTGTGAATGAGGTATTAGTCTGATCTGGCGCTGATTGATGTTGGCAATCTACATTTTTTTTTAAAAGCTTTGTTCTTTTGTATTAAACAATTACGGCAACTTGCAAATGACTGTCCTGTTTAAGTCTCAAGATGGACTTTAATTTTACAATGCATTTTACCAGTCTGCATGGTCATGTTGTATAGTATTTTGTGTATCCCATTTTGCAATCCAAATGTAATCGTATGATAGGTCATTTCTATAATACCAGAGTCACCATAGTTTAATAGCAAAATAAGCCTTGCATTTACATGGTAAGATTTAAAATTTGCGCAGCAGTGGTTCCCCAACAGGATGGTAAAATGAAAAAAAACTCAGCTAGCCACAGAAACCTTTTCAGATGATAGGCACGGCCTCATGAGAGACCTCAATTCAAACGCTGTATGGGATATATCAGACCTTTGTCTCACCCCCTGTGGGGTCAAAACGACAAGACCCACTCCTCTCATCAAAGTCATGTTCTCCCTTTTCCTCTCTCTCTTCCCACCTCTCTATCCAGCCAGGTCAGGCTATTAAATGGTAGAATATATTATAGAGAAAGGGGGAAGGTGGGGGCTAATAGATTGGAATATTATAACCATACAATAATTTCATGAAAAAGTCAAGGAGGGATCATCGTTCTTATTAAGTCCAAGAGAAATTGAGGCTGAAAAATGTTCAAATAGAAAATGTTAATGCCAGGCTATACTGCATGTAATTGTGCCTGCACCATTCCCTGGGCTGGCCCCATTCATGCCACTTTATTAGTGGTAATTGAGGATATGAATTATAAATGGGGGGGTGATTTCTCTCCTCCTTCTCATTGAAAGTGAAGCGTAATGACCACTGCCATTGTTTAACCTTCATAATCTTCTGTTCTCACTTCTTTGCTCTCTCCTGCCCCTTTTTCCTTTTCACTTCTTAACTTGTATGGGTTTTTCTTTTATTATTCTCTCTGCTTATTTCCATTTTAGTCACTCCCCATTATCTCCTCTACTCCTCTCTTTTTTTTCCTTCCCCTTTCCTTCTGTATCTTTTTCAGGCTTCTGTTTTACAGTCCTCTGACCATTGTGGTCTGAAATCTGAACTACAGTATAAGAGTTTAAAGGTACCCTAGACACATACATACATGGATACAAACACACATAATTACACACCCACACACTTAGATGGGGGGGTTGGCGGTGCTTTTTACCTTGCTGTAATTGCTTAATAAGCCCCACCAGTGATGTGTATGCCCCAGGCGAGGGATCCAGCAACGGGGGCTGGGGGTTTTCTTGGCATCGTTTCTGAGAAGTTCACTTTTTTTATTTAGGCTTTTTAAATATCAGCAGCTCCACACCTACCATCCAACAAAGTCCATTAGCCCCGGCCTCTCACCCACGACCAGTCTGCTTTTTATTTACAACATCAAACGTTTCACTTCATTAAATTACCTTTTCTTTCCCCTCCCCCCCTTACTCTCCTTCTCTCAAAGCACTCTTAGTTGCATTTAGTTGAAACATGTTTTCCGAAACAAAAGGAGTGGTGGAGTGTGGGGGGGGGGGGGATAAAACAGCCCTCCGATGCAGTCTGCAGTGGTTTTATAGCGGGGTATAATGGGCAATTGGGAGAAAGTATTTAATAGGAAACCGACATCGCGCTGTAATGCAACTGTTGTTAAAGTGGACTGATTCAGCCGGTGTCTCTGAAACGTGGAGGGCTGCTGTTCGCCATTTTCCCTTTTGAAGTCATTAACTGCCTTTTAAGTGGTGATGACTGCATGAGTCTGTTCTGGAGACACTTGAGTTTGTGTGTGTCCTGAGCGGTGGTGTCAACGTATGCAGCCAATTGAACACAGTGTGTGCAGAATCAAACCAAACTGTAGTGTAGGTTTTAAGGCGTGGGGTAAAACACAATGATGCAGGTGGATTCTTGGCCAAAAAAAAGATAAAAACTTTAGTTGAATATATTTTCTCAGTAAAATTATGTGTTGTCACTTAACCCATTAAACATTCTGACCTGGATCTATTTCTTCAAAGAGTGTGCCCCCTACCTTAATTATAAGTTCAAATGAAATAAACAGAATGTGATACAATTACATGTGTCCATTTCTAAAGTGTTCTAACACAATTGATTGCTGTTTAGCTCCAATCTCCCATAAGATATGCAAGACGTTGTGTGTAAAACCCCTTTGAAACCCAAATCTTTTACTCACATTTTTTTTCTTCTCCGCCATTGATCGAGAGTTTGATTTGATCTAGGTCCCTCATGTACTGCCACATCTGCAGCTTGTACTGCTGTGTGAAGCGGGCGTCAGCTGTGTGAGCATATAAATGAAACCAGAGAAGAATGAAAGCTAAACATTCTCCAAGATCAATATCCCAATATCTAACATCAGGGAACTCCAATAAGTACAACGCCAGGGACACTTCAATGGCAACATCAAGGCAGCAGGGTTTACACATACACACACATACACACATGCAAACGATTAGTGGGTTTGAGATAGTGATCAGGCAAGCACCATAAAATCAATCCTACTTAGGCGAAAGGAATAATCCATTTGGGGACAGGTTTCAATACGGTCCATACTAACCATGTCACGGTGAAGCTCTCACCAAAAGCAATGGGGATAATTTGGGGCAGAGATACATTGGCACATTTTTTTAAGCAATGAAATGAGGTCATATTGCCGGAAGCAGAGATAAGAATTAGCAATCAATGTTCATCAAGGTGGTTAAACTAATGGGCCTAAGGCCAACAAATTTGACCAAATACTGCTGGTTAAAATCATTTTAAGGGTTCGCTTTTGGTTGATTGAGGCATTGGGGACATTTTGACCCTTTGCTTTCTCATCAGAGTTTAAGATTTATACCTGACTGACATATTATTTAAACGTGGATTAAGACATTCTACAGATATTTGCAGATGTGACCTATGATGGGTTCATTTAATAAAAAAGGAGACAGAGGAAAATGTTTATGAAAACTCCCTCTGAAATTCCTCCTTTTTGCTCATCTGTCACCCAAATTATTAAGTAGCCTCCATTAGTCTTAGGGCATCTTTGTTTGGACAATAAGCAATGAGGCTGAACTAATGACCCTTACCCTAATCACGTCAGAGGAGAGGTGGGTGCTCCTATAAACGTATCTGTGTGTGTGTGTGTGTGTTTGTGTGTGTGTGTGTGTGTGTGTGTGTGTGTGTGCGCGCGTGTGTGTGTGTGCGTGTAAGTGTGTGTGTGTGTGAGAGTGTGTGGGGTCACCCTTCACTGGCTAACAAGTGGGGTAACAGAGTTAGCAAGGGAGAGGCTAAGGGAGGAGGGGTGCTTACACCTGCCTACACACACATATACACACACACACTCACACACACCCTGGGGGTATCGATTGCAACCGCCATTTCACCTTTGCCTCCCTGACCTCCCCAACGATGTGTTTATTTACTCCACGGCGCACACAAACACACACGTTTGACACACGCTGCCCGTCACACACACAAGTAAAAAGGGCATTAAGGAAGCATATGGGAGGCCGCTGTCACATTAGTTTAAATAACCCCCACAACACGGGGCTCATGGAGACTAACTCTTTGGCCTTCCTTAAGTCATACAGCTCCACCTGAGACTAAGGAGACAGGAAATAATGGTAGAAGGGAAGAGGCCAGAAAAGGACGGAAGGAAGATAGAGGAAGATTGAGTTTTTGAGGATTGTTCTGATGGCAAGGCATGCAAACTAATATTTGAACACAAGGCAACAACTATAGGTCTACATTTTGTTACAAATGTTCTTAATAGAAGTCAGAACGGCACTGAGAAAGTGCAGTGTTATATCCACGATATAAGCCATGCCTTATATCACACGGTAAACAAAGTTTAAGATAATACTGCGTTATTTGGATTTGCTCCAAAATATAATGGTTTCTGTCAAACCCTTTCACAACGTACCTAAAAACTGGGCCAGTAGTTTTTACATAATCCTGCTGACAGGTAAAAAATCCAAGGTAATAATCTGTCACATTTCTCACATGAATAAATGTCACCCCCCTTTAGCAGCCCTTCCCACCCACACGATGCCCACACGATGGAAGGGCATCTTATCTCCCCGGGCGCTGTACAATAGCTGCCCACTGCTCCTAGTACTAGACTCCTGGTACTAGGATGGGTTGAATGCAGAGAACACATTTCACTGTGTGTGCTGTGTGGTCTGCATGTGTGACCATTAAAGAGGGTTTCATCCCTCCCAATATTATATATTATTATATTATTATTATATTATTATTATTATATATATTATCATCTGCCCCCCAAACCTCCCAATCAGAACATGCACATACACACAGAGATTGCTTTTATCTATGAGGGACTACTTACCTACCCTAAGGTGTCCTCTGTTAAGAGGTCACTGAAGGATCTCAGCAGAAGGAACCTGACAATCCACACGTTCAATCATTTTTGCCCCCCCCCCTCTTTTCTTCCTTCTGACACTTCAGCTGATAACATTATAACATAACGTTGAAGGGTCTTAAGATACGCAACATAGACTTTTATGAGTCTGTCAACCCCTTGATGAACTTTACCTGGATCCACCGTGTGAGAAAGGCAACACATAAAGCAAAGAGATATGGTAGAACGTGAACCTACATGGACTAGCATGTTGCACTGTACATAACCACTACATTACCTTATTATTTCAATGATGTTGATTCTGCAGACTTTGGTAATGCTAATTTATCAGTAATATTTTTGGTGAAGTGAACAAATCATACCACTTATAACTTTAACTCATTTTATGGTGCCATTTACAATACAGTAACGACACAGAGTAGGCAGCAAAGTCCAAGTCAGTTAGTTATTGGTTGAATTACTGACAAACAAAGGGAATGCTATAACTGTAATACTCAGAAGTAAGTGCATGTGTATCCATGTGCATATTTTTGTGTTTGAATATCTGGTACAGTTTGCATGTGTGTGTCTCGGTGTGTTTGCATTGTCAGCCAGCTAGTAGCCAGGCATGTCATACATAGTGATTAGTAGTAAAACTTTAATGGGGGATCCATACATATGTCTAGCTGTCAACTTTACGATCAAGCCTCACCATGCCAGCCTGGACTACAGACAGCCAGGACACAGACGCAGTTGTACAAACACACACAGAGACAGAGTGTGTCTCTTTCTGTCAATTTTTTTGCGGTGCCACAGGGGCCAGTACCGTCACGGTGCTGTCAACGCCCTAAATGAAGGCATCAAGCGCTCACATCCCCCGCTGTAATAAAACCCAGTCAACAAGCCCCCGCCGCAGGCAACACATAATGGGCTTTTTATTTCCGTTTGGTCGCCCCAGCCTACTGAATTAAAGCCCAGTTTGGTGAATGAAAGACAAGGTGGTCTCAAGGTCACTGAGTGAGCTAGAGGGTGAGGGGAACACCTTTAGGTTTCAACACGACATCCACAAAATGCACAGATCTGACGGTAAGGCATTGCAACATGAATAAAAAAATCCAAGACATGTTGTAATGGAACGTTTTCTAAATGTTCTCATGTGCGTATTATATTTGAGCAATCACGTCTTTAATTTTGTTTTGGGGTTTAAATGAGGTACCCATATCAGTTCCTAGCATTAACACTTTTTCAAGCTAATGTTTCAAAAATATGTTCTAAGCTGACATTTCAGCTGTAGTAAATCTAAAGGCATTTAAAGAATGGAGTGTTGGGCTTTTCTTGTCAAATGTAATAACTTTGACGGATGTATCTGGTGTGGTCTGCCTTTACCATGGTTTGATAGATGTAATAAAGTTAGCCTTTTTGGTTTTAACTACGAATCCTGTGTTGTTGTATAACAATCCTCAAAAATGTAGGCGCAAATCAACGCTGCTGGCACCATTTCTAGTGAGAAGAAGCTACAAGTTAGCGGTTCCACTAATGAGGAGTGCAATTTGGAAGCAGGCCAACAAATCCACCGTGACCCCCAATGATCCCACCTACCTGCTTCATTTAGGGAGCAACAGGAAGCAAATGATCTCTTCCCAAAAAGGTCAAGGGTCAGTCCATGTTGTTGTGTCGGAGCAGACTAACTGCTGGCGTGTTTTGTGTGTGTGAGCATGTGTGTGAGAGAACAGGATACTCCATGTGTGATGGTATTTGGTAATGAGAGGAAAAAACAACAGCGAAACAGACTGTAAACAGTGACAGGTGTCTTGTTAGGTTAGAATTACCATGGCACACAAGAACACACACATACACACTTACACACCTCCAAGCCACCATCTGGTAAATACTCTGGAGGAACATTTGAGCGTTTTGTTTTTGTAACTGACAAGAGTATACAATGGGAGTGAATGCCAAATGTATTCAGTACACTTTAAGCTTTCAATTAGATGTATGATTATAATTTGGAAACAACTTTTTATGATGACAACACGTATCGACTGAGTCAAAAAGAAATGTTTGGGGGTTATTAACATCTTACTATGTCCACATGTAATGTTTAACTAATCAAAAAAAGGGCCAACACTAGAAAGAATCATTCAATTTGGATATGAGCCAATCTGTTAGTGACACAGCTCTGATAAAGTTCAATGATCAGCTTCTGCCAGTTTTCTGATTGAAACTACTGTTACAATTCATATCATTCAACAGTGTGCAATAAACCTAGAAAAAGAAAGGGATAAACCCAAATATGAAGTAATAATGTATAGAAAATCCTACAGAAAACCTGTTTTTGAGCTTTTTAAAATATATATCTCTATATATTGAGTTTGGTCTGGGCTGTGTTTTTCTTCTTTGGGATAATGTGCCAAACATGTGAACACCTTGGTGTGTCAATGGTTAGTTGAAAGCCCATTACTTGGCAATGGCAAAGCAATGGCTTTGTTTCAATTTGGTGTGGTAGAAGTTTGGAATTTCATCTCCATCCAACACCATTGGGATGAATTGTGCCAGGCCCAAAAGGCAACATCATGGGTGTTCACATACTTCTGAACGTTAAGTGTGCTTTTACAGGTGTAGAGGGGAGGGACAATGTCAGTTGTCAATTATAGCAAGCCAAATGACAAAAGTTGACATTAGAGGTTTTTTCCAAGAAATACAGCTGAAAGAGATATGTCATTATGGAAGTGGCTAACCATCACTGAAGTACTTAGTGCATTTCTCCTGATAGAGCCAGCTAGACTCCCTTTCAGGTGATACTTTACTTAATTGAGTGTGAAACCTTTATCACTATCAAGACAGAGACGTGAAAGAGAGATAGACGGATGAAAAAAGAGAGGTGAGAAAGAGATGGAGGTATAGGATGAAGGAGAGGCCAGAGAGAGACT